CTATTTCTATTAAAAAAATCAGTCATGTTTCCAGTTCATTGCATCTTCTATATTTAAGACCATCACTGCCTTCTTCTCATGAATGGTCTTGGAGTTGGGATGGATTAGAAGTATTTAAGATAGGAGTTTGGCTAATGGTTACAACAATAAATAGTAAGAGTACAACACATCACAGTGCTGGAAGGGTAGTGGGGGAAACAAATACCAAAGGATGGGAATTAACTTTTAATATCATGTGACTCTATGACTGCTCCCACCACCCCTCCAATTAATTATTATGTATACTGTAGATTGTGGTAGAAATAATACCTTGTGTTATATTAAATATTTAAGGCGCTCTGAAGATTATCTTACCGAAGGGGAGAACCAGATGGACCTACTTTGCATGAGAGAGTGGGCAAGTCACTCAATGTGTATAACCTCCTGCCAGGGAGATTGCCTATCATTGTTCAGTGGCTTCCTTACTGTATCACCAAGTCAAAAGAAACTAGCAATTCTATTAGACTTATTTTTGGATCCTTGTATAAAATTTGTGCTGCTTTTATTTTATGTATATGTGCATTTGTTTACATATTTATATGCGTTACTCCAGAACCAAGCTCAATCTTCCTTCATACCTTTCCTGGTTGGGGTAATAGAAAAATTTTATAGCCCACAATCAGATGTATCAGGAAGAGGAGTGGAACACGTATGATACCTTGTAATTGAAACTAGTGTATTTAATACTGTAATTACTCATATTTACAATTAATGCTTTTCCCCTTTATTTTCAAAAGGCTCATTTTTCTCCATTTCTCTACTGTCAAAGTCAAGAACTGCCTAATGGTTCTGTCAAGGAGGCTTCAGTTCCTACCTCTGCCCCTCCAGAGATCTCAAGTCCAGATACTCCAGAAGAAGTAGATCATAAGCCTAAACTGTGCAGGCTGGTTAGAGGTGAAAATGGCTTTGGTTTCCACTTAAATGCAATTCGTGGTCAGCCAGGTCCATTCATCAAAGAGGTATGGTAATTGGTTCCAGCAGCCCAATAAACACAGCACAATTAGAAGGGCCTGTTTCACTCATTGATGGCTTAGTAAAAAGGTTACATTGAAGACCTACACTGAGTGTCTCACTTGGGTTCAAATAATTGCTATCATGGTCCCAGACCTTTTAAGATAGCTACTAGTATATCCTAAGTTCACATCTTTTTTCCTAAATACCTGTTCCCCTCAATTGTCTCTTCAGACACTTTCAAATCAAATAGAGTTGACATGACTGTAGTTGATAGTCACTATCATCATTGACTGGGAGTGATTACTTGTTTGCTTCTGTGCATTTGGCATAATGCCCTGTGCTGTAGTGACTGACAGTGAGAAGGCTATCCCTACAGTTCTCTGAAATTGGGAATGAAGAAGGAACCTATGGCATCTATGCCTTCAACCCAGAAGACATACAATATGATATTCAACCACTGTAACCCTAAGTATTTCAGTATGGAAGTTGTAGCCTTCACAAGCAGAAAGCATTACAGCACTTTCCCTAACTTCTGTACCTAAAGGAGAAATAATAACAGTTAAATTCTCAAACTCATCTCTCCTTCGAAGGGAAGCTAGTTTAACATTCCCTTATCTGTGTTTGGAAGTGATAACTCAAAACCTCTGTTCACAGGTACAGAAAGGCAGCCCTGCCAACCTGGCTGGGCTAGAGGATGAAGATATCATCATTGAAGTGAATGGGGTAAATGTGGTGGATGAACTCTATGAGAAGGTGGTGGACAGAATCCAGAGCAGTGGGAAGAATGTCATACTCTTAGTCTGTGGAAAGAAGGCTTATGATTATTTCCAGGCTAAGAAAATCCCTATTGTTTCCTCCATGGCTGATCCACTAGATGTACCCTTTGATTCCAAAGAAGGAACACTGTGGGAGTCAGATCACAACTCACACATGGTGAAGGAACGAGTGAGTGGTAACACAGTTTTTTTTCAGTGATCTAACTTACTAGAATATGGAAAACCCTTAATAAATGTACCTCATGTCCATGTTTACCATAGATTTCCTAAAATACTAGGAAATTACAATGTAAAGGTAACTGGCACATCAAGTTATCGTGTGGGAGAGGATGTAGTGTAAACACAACAAATTTCTTATTTTTCATAGCATAGAATTGACAGTAACTATCTAGAATTGATAAACCAAGGAATAAATTAAGTATCAAAGTTATAATAGGAGTAGAAGTTCAATCAGGCTATTTATGTACAAACTCTGTTCTGCTGTGGGCAAATGGATTTATTTTCTGTGTGCCTTGGTTTCCTTACTATAAAACAAGGAAAATTTGTAGGGCTGTTATCAGGGTTATATTAACTAAGACTATTAAAGTGGTTCAAACAGTGGCTTGTGCATGGTAAGCATGAAAATGAATAGTGGAAGTTAGAGACAGTATTGTTTTTAAAATAATTGATAGGTATTCAAGTTTTATTACTAGGGACAAATTATTCTCTATATATTTAGATTAGATAAATTCCTTGGTAAATCTGTTTTTATTTTTGTCCAATTTCTTTTCATAGATGAACTTGAGTTCCAAGAGTAAACTGACCTATCCAATTTCATAAAGGAAACATACAGCAAAGCCAAGACTCTAAAAGTTTTAGATTATTTTTCTTTCATTATATTAATTCTTCTAATTGTTAATATAAAAATACCAATTTTAAATGAATACCCACTGTAACAGTCCATTTAGGCTGCTATAATACCATATACTGGGTGGCTTATAAACAACAAACATTTCTCACAGTTCTGGAGGCTGGGTAGTCCAAAATCAAGGTACTGGCAGATCTGGTGTCTGGTGAAGGCCCTCTTCTGTGTGGCAGACTATGGACTTCTTGCTCTGTCCTCACATTGTGGAAGGAAGAAGGGACTTCTGGGGGCTTTCTTTTAGAACACTAATCCCAGCTCTGCCCTCATGACTTGATTACCTCCCAAAGGGCCCCCCTCCTATTACCTTGGGGATTAGGATTTCACCATATGAATTTTGGGTACTATAAATATTCAGACCAAAGCACACACAATAGCCATTGACCATACTGTCAATTTCTTAATAAAGAAAGTATTCCCATAGTCTTTTAAGAATTTTAAAATGTGGGGGGTGGGCTGGGATGGGAGTAAAAGACAGAAAACTGTACTTGAACAACAATTAAAAAAATAGAATCCTATAATGTCTCTATAGGAAGTCAATTATAGTACTATGCTAGTTTTATAGAAAGGGAATATACAGAGACTTTATAGCAAGCTGAACACAAAGCCAAGTGTATAATTCAGGTCACGTGTATTCTAGTAAGTGACTCTACTCCCTGACTTAAGTCATGCAACTCTAGAATCATCCATCTCTTGATAGTCACACTCTACCACTTATAGACCCTTTGTTTTCTTTTTCACAGACCCACAGTACAGCCTCTCATTCTTCTTCCAATTCTGAAGATACAGAAATGTGATGAGACCAAATAATGGCTTTGGCAGATGGGTCTTTAACAGGAATCCTTTCCCAAGGAATGAGTTGCCACCCATTTGCTGTCTCTGTTAAAGAACTCCTCTGGAAACCACTTCATCATGTGTAATTGTTTTCTGTTATCATTTATCTCAGGGGTAGCTATTGCAGATGGTTTATTTATAGTCAACTTACGAAAAGTTAAGGCAGGGGCCAGATTCTGTTCATGTAATCTCTTTCAAACTTCAAAACTTAACTATACAGGGTCTGGCACAAATAATGCCTCTTTTTTATTACACAATCATAAGCATGTAATTCTGTAACATAACAGTATCACACTCAAGCACACCATATGACATTTTAGGTGAAATTTTTGAATTAAAACTATAAATTATTACACCCATATTATTACGCTACCAACCACACTGAAGCTGGCATTTCTTCTGCTAGACCCTGTATTTCTCTTTATGATGATATCTTACTTCTATTTGGGGCTCCTTGAGCACCAAAGATGATTTATAAATCTGCATATGTGAGAGCTGTCAATTAAAGTATCTGAGCATATAAGCCTATTAAAATTATGCTTTTAAAAGAATGCTGTATTTACCAAAATAAATGCCATTAAAAAGGTCTTTTGAGTGTGTTCAATCTTCCCTGTTAGCTGATCTAATCTTAATAGTGCTTTTGTTTTTGGTAAACTTTTTATGCTTTATCCTTCATTTTGCCTCTAGAAATCCAAAATATAACAAAATTCAGAATAATACCTTAGTAATAAAATAGAGACTTTCTGGTAGTAAAATTCAGCATTTTCTTAAATTGTGTTTCTGAGTGTCCTACAAATTTTCTAACATCTTCCTTTTACAGATGAAAAAATTGAGTTATAAGACAGGAAAATGACTCAATCCAGTTTGTAGTTATTCACTGTTCTACCCACAGCATGAGGAGCAGATGAAAAAAAAATAGACATCATTACTAAACTGAATGAATGTAGAATAATTCACTCTTAAATAAAATTAAGTTCAAAGGAAATAAAGAAAAATGGCATACTTAAAATCTGTCTTGGTAGAATCTATTTCAATTGCACCCTACCTAGTTTCCAGAAAAGAAGAGATAACGTCTTGGTTATTTTAATGTGGCAAGGGTTGGGGAAGGAGGAGTGGAATGCTAATTCATGTTAGACCATACAAGCAAAATACCAAGATATTTTTTTAAGAGGGGAAGAGGGGAAGGGAGGAAGATATATGTATATATATCTCTGCGTATATATATCTCTGTGTATATATATCTCTGTATATATATATCTCTGTGTATATATATATATATATATATATATATATATATATATAGAGAGAGAGAGAGAGAGAGAGAGAGAGAGAGAGAGAGAAATTATTTGCCTCTTAACACACCTGTAACCCAGGCAGGTGCCCTGACCAGGAACTGAACCAGTGACATTTTGGTTCAAGCTGGCAATCAATCCACTGAGCAACATCAGCCAGGGTTGAACCAAGCTATTTTTGATAAAGAAGCTAAGGCCAAAGAGTTGCAATCTCTGATTTTAATGACAGTCAATCTCAAGGGAAAGCTAAAACCTTTTTGCATGTGAGTCTTGACTTCAACAAAAATCCTACATATTTGGCCCAGCTACTGTAGACTTCTCTTACCTCACAGTTCAAGTGTATTTCCCCACCTCTAGTTTCTTGACTCTTTTCTACACCTGCTTCCCAATGTCGCACCAGTCTCAAAACAACACAGGAACCTCTTAGCTGAGTATTAGATTCAGCTACCTTGCTCTCTCATGCTCTAGAGGATGCTACTCATGATCACACTACTATCTGAGGTAGCAGGCATGAACTTGAGGTAGAATATGCTACCATAGCATTTTGTTTGTTTAAAAAATATTAGGCCCAGGTCCATTCCATTTTTTCTCTTCTTATATCCAAATTCTGGCACCACTGGCCTGTTAGCAGTCTGAAATACAAATGAATTCAAGGTGTCATATGCTTCTCTGGTGCCTGTTTGTGAGCCAAATAGAGGAACAGTATGCTGGAGAGAGCACTGACTAGGAAGATCACATCGAACCAACGGTGGTAGAAACTGAACTGCAGTTCTCCAAGGACTTCAGTGATTATGGTGCGGTATTCTAGGGGCATGCTCATTCGGATCAGCAGCACAGATGAGACAAAGTACATGCCCTGTAAGTCAAACACATTAATCAGAATTCACTTTGAATGTAGTAAGGGGAAGGTCAAAGGGCATGGTTAAAATATTTAAAAGTATAAAACACTTCTGGTATTTTACAGCTGTAAAGATAAAGGTGGTTTTCAAAACTTACCATTATCTGTGCTAATAGCAGGACGATGACATTGGAGGACTTACTGCTAGAGATGGCATAAAAGAACTGTCAATAAAGGGAAAAGAGAGAAATTTATGCATCACTGATACATCCTGTGTCAAGAAAAAAAAAAAGAACATTAAGTAGCGTGATTAACACTTATTTAAAAGGGTCTCTTCCATGCCACAATCCTGTTTACAACAATTTGTATGATTAAGGCTATAAAGAAGAGACTTAAATAGACTCAAAAAAGGATCTAGTTATAGTTTTCCCGTGGGGTAGTTGGTTTTAAGTATTACATTGTAACATAAAAGGATTCCCATCTAACAAACTTTTTAGAAACTATGCAATACACCTGACTTTAACATGACTATAAACATTTAAAGAGTTTACTCTGGGTCCCTGAAATTGTTACTAGGCTCCTGAGCTCTTTCCAAAATTGTGCTCTTTTTCTCTTTTTTCCATTTTCTCAACATCTTCTCTCCTCTCATTCAAAGAACTCTTGGATCTGAAATCTCTACCTCTTTTACCAGAGAGTATTTACTCTCCAGGAAGCCTTCGTTTGTTAAGCAGAAAGCAATCAAACATTCTTCTTTTTCTACTTCCAGATCCTCCTTACAAGTGATTCCCACAGTTATTCGTCCAACCTCAAATACTTCTCTCATTCATTCATTCCAAATATCTGCTGCATACCTACCATGTGCCAGGTGCTGTTCTAGATGTCACTGACATCAGTGAACAAAACAGACTGTGGTCTCATTCTATGACCTTGGGTAAAAGTAGTTTTATCTGAGTATATAATGTAAGTACATCATCATCAATTTATGTATTAGTTTAACTTTTAAATCCTTGCCTGAGGATATGTTTATTAATTTCTTTTTTTTCAGAGAGACAGGAAGAGGAAGAGAGAGAGAAACATTGATGTAACAGAGAAACATCGATCGGTTGCCTCCTGTAGGGTCCCTCCTGTAGGATCAAACCCACAACCTAGGCATGTGTCCTGACCAGAAATTGAACATGCAACCTTTTGGTGCACAGGACAATGCTGCAACAACTGAGCCACACTGGCCAGAGCTGTATTAGCTTAACTTTAAAAAAATTCTGTTGTATGTCTTTTAAATATATGTAACTATTGTTTAAGATCTCAGAAGACAGAAATCTTAAATGGGTAAAATTATTTCAGAACGCCATATATACTTAAACAAAGAACTACTTTATAACTTTGTGATACAACATACCTTGGTAAGAGTGATTAGTAATCCTCTGATAGATGTTACAATGATTATTCCAACCAGAATAAAGGAAATATGTTGGGACCAGAACTTCACCTGCCACCATTATGGAAAGAATAAATATCCGTTAAATCTCTGTTTAGAAAGAGGTGAAGGTTAAGAAGATGCATTCTGATTGCTTATGTGACTGTGAAAGGACACTTCATTAGGCCCTATCTGACTAAAAAAAAAATTTAGGGAAGCAAGCAAGTAGCAATTAAAACACCTATAGGTGAAGTAGATATCTTCATTAGCAGACATAATGAAGATTTAAGGACAGAAGAAAGCAAATGCAGTGAAGTGATTAAAATAACACACACAAATCAGAAGAAACACAGATCTAATGATATAGCTTCAGTGTGATAAATGGAAAGCACAAATTAAAAGGAAACTAAATAACAGCTTGGCTATTTTTATTATCTGTGACAATTCTCTGATAACCCAAAACTTTAAGAAAATTTTCATTTTTAATAAAGAATATGCAGACATTCTTAGCCATGGTCACTTGAAAAACATGATGATACCTTTTCCTCCTCTTTTACTGCTTCATAGTGAGAGGCAGCTTTGAAATCCTGTGCTTGATTCAGGTCTGAAAAGCTGCTATCACTACCATCTAAAAGATGTTATTCAGAATTATGAACTATGTAGTATATAGTATAAATATATATACAGGAACTAAATATAAATATATAAACAGCATCTGATAAGGAAGAACATTTCTAAAAATTGAGTCCAGTAAAAAATTTAAAAGGGAAAATATATATGCATATATGTAGCACTAGTGAAGCATATGTTACAGTATAATTTATATAGTACTTAAAAGATACCATGCTCCTTCACATGAAAAAGGGTACACTATTGATATACCATTAAAAATGTATGCTTTAAGCTATTTCCTAAGGACTGGAGCTCAGTTTGCTCTGGTTCATTTTCATTTTATACAGCTACCAGGGGGATGTTCAGCTGAGATGAAGAGATGAGGGTAGCATGCTGTCTGTGGCTAGGATCACAACACAGGTAAAAGGCCCTGACAGGGACTAGGAACATGACATTGGTCTTAGTATCAGCCAGAATCACTGGCCATCTGTATATCTGAAAAATATATTATTCTACAAATAAAGATGTTGAATTTAAATTGGGATAAGATTGTGTTTAATGACAGTGGTATTATGAAACAGATGGAAATATGACAAAAATTTGTGCATAGGTTACAGTTATCATGTTTAGCTCAAAGTCCACATTAATTGATTATATTTATAGCAGAAATCATTTCAGTTCTAATACAGATGACTAATTGGTAGTTAATATTCTACCAGAGGAATCAAAGGTAGATTGTGTGTTTGAAGATCTCATTAAGTATCAGAGAGGCATATCTAAGTGTCTGGTTGTGAGTGGTAGCTGGCTACAGAGAAGTAGAGGAGGAACTATAGAAATAATCAGCATCCATACAATAGTAAGTGGCAGTAATTAAGTTTTATGCCCATTACACATCTGTCATACAACTGTCAAAATATACAAAGCAGAGTAGGAAGAACAAAAACAGAATTAAGTCTCTATAGTAAGGAATTAGAATTTAATAATGGTAATTTACACCAGATAGAATAGAAAAAAAAAAACAAAACAGAAGAAACTGGGATCTTGATTCAATGCTTACATCAAACTGAATCCCCAGATAATTCACAGTGATCTCAATGCCTCTTGTGACAGGATCAGTTTTCCCAACTCGATCAAAAACAATATTAATGGTTGCCTGAAGAGACATAGAACTTTATATTACAGCATGTCAATAATCATCCACTATTTCAAAAAGGTGATTTAGAATAATGAATTAATCACCACAACAAATCTTACTGCTGGATGTCCCTAAAAATGCAATTCTATTCTCAATCCAAATCATATATAAAAATCTATTTTGGCTATTCACATATTGGCAAATAAAAGTCTCTATTTACCCTAGCTTTCTTTTCTGTAAGGAGTAAAGGAGAATAGGTTATGGCATATACACCTTAATTTATCAGGAGCCAGAAATGTAACATTCTGGTAGATGAAGCCAAGATAACAAAATAAAGGTATTCTAGGGTTATTCCCTGTGGTTGGTTATTTTCTGAATGCTCTAAGAGCAATCACTAAAATATCAAAAAGATAAAAAAGATTAAATGGAATTATAAAAAATACCCAATGAATCCAAAAGGCGGCAGAAAAAAAGAAAAAGGGGAGAAAAGAATAGTTGAAACATATAAAAACATATAGTTTATGGTTGTTTTAAAGCCAACAATATCAATAATCACATTAAATGTAAAAGTTCTGACCAAAATGAAGGCATAGGTAGAAACCTTTCGCCTCCTCACACAACCAAAAGGAAGATAACAACCAATCTAAAATCAATAAACAAGAAGAAGTGCCAGAAAATCAAATTGCATGGAACTCCGACAACCAAGGAATTAAAGAAAAAAATCAGAACAACCAGATCGGTAAGGCAGCAAACCATGAAAAAACAAATGAAAGATACCCAAAATGAAATAAAGCAAAATATTCAGGGAACCAACAGCAACAAGAAGGAAACCAGGACTCAAAGCAATGATTTGGAACAAAAGGAAAAAATAAACATCCAACGGGAACAGAATGAAGGAACAAGAATTCAAAAAAGGAAGAGACTTATGACCCTCTGGGACAATCTGAAACATTCCAGTATCTGAATTATAGGGGTGCCAGAAACAGAAGAACAACAGCAAGAAACTGAAAACTTAAACTTATTTGAACAAATAGCCCTGGCTGGTGTAGCTCAGTGGATTGAGCGCGAGCTGGGAACCAAAGGGTCACCAGTTTGATTCCCAGTCGGGCCACACACCTGGGTTGCAGGCCAGATCCCCAGTATGGGACACGTGAGAGGCAAACACACTCTAATGTTTTTCTCCCTCCCTTTAAAAATAAATAAACAAATCTTTAGAAAAAATATTTTAAAAAAAAAACCTTATTTAAACAAATAATGAAGGAAAAGTTCCCCAATCTGGTGAAGGAAATAGACTTCCAGGAAGTCCAGGAAGCTCAGAGAGTCCCAAAGAAGTTGGACCCAAAGAGGAACACACCAAGGCACATCATCATTAAGTTACTCAAGATTAAATATATAGAGAAAATCCTAAAAGAAGCAAGAGGAAAGGAGATAGTTACCTACAAAGGAGTTCACATACGGCTATCAGCTGATTTGTCAAAAGAAACCTTGCAGGCAAGAAGGGGCTGGAAAGAAGTATTCAAAGTCATGAAAGGCAAAAACCTGTATCCAAGATCACTCTATCTAGCAAAGCTTTCATTTAGAGTGGATGGGCAGATAAAGTGCTTCCCAGATATGGTCAAGTTAAAGGAGATCATCATCACCAAGCCCTTATTATATAAAATGTTAAAGGAACTTATCTAAGAAAAAGATAGAAAATATGAACAGTAAAATGACAACAACTCACAACTGTTAACAAATGAACCTAAAAGAGAAGAAAAACAACAAAAACTAAGCAAAGAAATAGAACAGGAATAGAATCAGAGAAATGGACATCAAATGGAGGGATTTCAGTAGGGAGGGGGAAAGGTACAGGGAAGAAGTGTAATTAGTAGGTACAAAATAGATGGGGAGAGATACAAATGGTACAGGAAACAAAGGACTCAAAGAATTTATATGTACAACCCATGGACATGAACTAAGGAGGGGGGAAATGCTGAAGGGTTGAGAAGAAAGGCGGAGGGGGGATAAAGAGGGAAAAATTGAGAAAACTGTAATAGTCAATAAAAAAAATACTTAAAAAAAGAATCAACCAATGGATGCATAAATAAGTGAAACAACAAAAACAAAAAAGTCACATTAAATGTAAATGGTCGAAATCATGGGTTGGCATATGCTGTCACTATAATATGATAGCAGCCATAGACAATGTACATGAACAGGATTGGTTGTGTTGCAATAAAAACTTATTCACAAATGCAAGTGATGGCTGGATTTCACCTGTGGGCTGCAGATGGCTGACTGCTGGTCTAAACATGCCAATTAAATAGCAGAGATGGTCAGACTGAAAAAAAAAAAAGGAAGACTCAACTATATGACTCTTTAAGAAACCCACTATAAATATAAAGATACAAATAGGTTAAAAGTACTGAAAAAGATATATTATGTCAATAGTAATAAAAAGAAAGCTGGAATGTTTATATTCATTTATATCAGCAAAACAAATTTCAAAGCAAAAAATATTGCCAGGGATTAAATGGGTCATTTCATAATGATAAAAAGGATCACTTCAACAGGGTAAATAATGACACTAAATATGTATATACTTAATAACAGAACTTTAAAATACATGAAACAAAAACTGATAGAACTATAAAAAGAAATAGACAATTCACAACTAGCTGGAAATTTCAACACCCCTCTAAATAACTGGTAAGAAAAGTAGTTGAAATTCAGTAAGGCTACAGAAAGCTTTAACAATACTATCAAACTTGAACTAATTGACATGCATAGAACATTCCAGCCAAAAGTACAACTCATAATAGAAAATAAAAAGATAAATTGGACTTCATCCAATCAAGAACTTCTGTTTTTTTAAAGATACTGTTAAGAGAATCAAAAGCCAAACTACCGGACTGGAGAAGATACTTGAAAATCACGTATTTGATAAGGAATTTTCACAATACACAAAAATAAATTCAAAGTGGGTAAAAAACTTAAATGTAAGTCTGACACCATAAAAGTCCTAGAGGAGAATGTAGGAAAAACTCAAATATTTCATGCAGCAGTATTTTCACTAATATGTCCCATAGAGCAAGGGACATAAAGAAAAGAATAAATAGGACCTCATCAAAATAAAAAGCTTCTGCATAGCTAAAGAAAACATTAGCAAAATGAAAAGGGAACCAACCATATGGGAAAATATATTTGCCAATGATACCATGAACAAGGGTTTGATCTCTAAAATATATAAACAACTCACACGACTCCACTCCAGAAAGACAAGCAACCCAATTAAAAAATGGGCAAAGGCCTTGAACAAACACTTCTCCAAGGAGGACATACAGAGGGCCCAGAGACATATGAAAGAATGCTCAGCATCACTAGTCATTAGAGAGATGCAAATTAAAACCACAATGAGATACTACTTCACACCAGTCAGAATGGCCATCATAAAGCAACAAACAACAAACAACAAGTGCTGGAAAGATTGTGGAGAAAAGGGAACCCTAGTGAGGATGAGAATGCAGACTAGTGCAGCCACTGTGGAAAACAGTACCTAATTTCCTCAGAAAACTGAAAATGGAACTGTCTTTTGACCTGCCAATTCCACTGCTAGGATTATACCCTAAAAATCCTGAAACACTAATTCAAAAGAACCTACGCACCCCAATATTCATAGTAACACAATTTACAATAGCCAAGTGCCTGAAGCAGCCTTAGTGCCCACCAGTGAATGAATGAATAAAAAAACTCTGATACATTTACATAATGGAATACTACACAGCAGAAAGAAAGAAGGAGCTCCTACTCTCTGCAACAGCATGGATGGAACTGGAGAGCATTATGCTAAGTGAAATAAGCCAGGTGGTGAAAGACAAATACCATATGATCTCACCTGTAAGTGGAACCTAATCAACAAAACAAACAAGCAAACAAAATATAACCAGAAACATTGAAATGAAAAACTGACAGTAAGCATAGGGGAGGAGGGAGAATAGGGGAAGGTCCACCAAAGAACATACATAAAGGACACATGGATAAAGCCAAAGGAGGTAGGTTCAGTGGTGGGAGGTGGAGATGGGTAGGGCAACGGACCATGGTGGGGTGAAAATGGAGACAACTGTACTTGAACAACAATAAAAAACCCAAACATTTAAAAATTGGCAAAAATATGAATAGATATATCACCAAAGAGGATGAAAAGGTGGCAAACAAGCATGTAAAAAGTTGTTCAACATCATTAGACATTAGGGAAATGTGAATTAAATTCAGTATCATCTCATACCTATTAGAATGTCTGAAGTTAAAAGGACTGACCATATGAAGTGTTGATGAGGATGTAGGGTAACAAACTCTCATACACTGCAGGTAGGAATGTAAATGGTACAACCTCTTTAGAAAATTTTGGCCATTTCTTCACAAACTATCTGTCATATGACTTTGCTCTTTTATATCTAAGTTTTTCTCTCAAGGGAAAAGAGAACATATGTCCATATACAGACTTGTGCTCAAATGTTCACAGGAGCATTATCTGTAATATCCCCAAACTGGAAACAAACAGTATCCATCAGCAGTAGAGGAGATAAACAAATGGTAGTATACTCATACCATGGAATACTACTCAACAATAAAAAGAATAAACTATTGATACACATAACATGGATGAAACTTAGAATAATTATATTGAGTAAAAGAAGTCAGACAGAAAAAGGGTACATACTATAAGACTCCATTTATATAAAGTTCTAGAAAATATAAATTAATGTATAATCACAACAGATTAGTGGTTGACTGGGGGCATGGGAGAGGCATTATAAAGGGGTACAAGGAAACTTTTAGAAGTGACAGGTGGGTATTTTCTCTATCTTGATTATGGTGATTATTGTTGCACAGGTATACATTTGTCAAAGCTTACCAAACTGTACACTTTAAATATGTGCAGTCTAATGAATGCCAATTATATCTCAATAAAACTGTTAAAAAATGATGTGTTTCTACATCACATTTGGGAGAGGGGTTGAGGAGCTGGGTGAAGGGATTAAGAAGTACAAATTAGCAGTTACAAAATAGTGATGGGATGTAAAGTACAGCATAGGAAACATAGTAATATTGTAATAACTGTGTGTGGTACCAGGTGAGTACTAGACTTATTGGGGGGAATCACTTCATAAAATATATAAATGTCTAACCACTATGCTTTACACCTGAAACTACTATAATATTGAACCTCAACTATAACTGAAAAAAAATGCTCCCCTAAAGACAGCATCTCAGGAAAAAGCTTTCAGTAGCTTAGCTAATTGCACACACTATCTTCATTCATCCTCTCCCACTGAATGAACTCAGATTTAAAACTGTCATCTGAATTTGAATTGACATCAAATTATTATAACATTAGATCCATTAAATCCAGAATCCTGCAATGATCAAAATTAACTAAAAAGCTCCTCCTTGTGCAAACACAGCTCCAGTAGAAAGGTTACCAAACCAGAAAGTTAAATCAGCTTCTTCTATAATCACACTGAAACCCATTAATACCTGCAGATGAGTCACAACTAAAGACAAATAAAATGCCATAGAGAATAAATATTAAGGGAGAGCCACAAAATAAGATCTATAAATGCAAAGGATGAATTTATTTATAGAAATACATTTTACAATTTACTTTGGACTTCATTTTTAGGTGTAAACACATTACTAAAAAGGACGGGTGGCTTCTGTTCTGAAGGTTGAGTTACATACAGTTACATAATCATGAGTAATATGGAAAGCAGAGTGTAAAATAAACTGTCATATTTGCTTCATATATTTCATAATTTAAGACCTTATTAATGATTTCTTTTAATTTTTTTATTGATTATGCTGTTACAGTTGTTCTATTCCCCCTTCATTCCCCTCCACCCTACCCCCCATCCCCACCATTACCCCCCCCTTTAGTTTATGACCATGTGTCTCAATTCCTTTAGATTCTATATTTCCCATGCTATTCTTGCCCCCCCATCTATTTTCTATTTACTGTCTATGCTACTTATTTTCTATACCTTCTCCCCCCTTCTCCTCCTCCCACTCCCCTGTTGCTAACCCTCCTTGAGATCTTCATTTCTATGTTTCCACTCCTGATCTAGCTGTCCTTTTAAAAGTTTGCTTTTGTTTTAGGTGTGGTTGTTAATAACTGAGTTTGTTGTCCTTTCACTGTTCATGTTTCTTTAACTTCTTTTTCTTAGATAAGTCCCTTTAACATTTCATATAATAAGGGCTTGGTGATGATGAACTCCTTGAATTTGATCTTATCTGAGAAGCACTTTATCTGCCCTTCCATTCTAAATGAAAGTTTTGCTGGATAGAGCAATCTTGGTTGTAGGTCTTTGGTTTTCATGACTTGGAATACCTCTGTCCAGCCCCTTCTTGCCTGGAAGGTCTCTTTTGAGAAATCAGCTGACAGTCTGATGGGAACTCCTTTGTAGGTGACTGTCCCCTTAGCTCTTGCTGCTTCGCGGATTCTCTCCTTCATTTTAATCTTGGCTAATGTAATTATGATGTGCCTTGGTGTGTTCCTTCTTGGGTCCAACTTCTTTGGGACTCTCTGAGCTTCCTGGATTTCTTGGAAGTCTATTTCCTTTGCCAGATTGGGGAAATTCTCCTTTATTATTTGTTCAAATAAGTTTTCCAATGGTGGCTGTGCCTTTCCCCCTTGTGGTACCCCTATAATTTGGATGTTGCAGCGTTTAAAGATGTCCTGGGGGTTCCTAAGACTCTCCTCATTTCTTTGAATTCTTGCTTCTTGTCTCTTTTCTGTTTGGCCATTATTTGCTTTCTTCTGGTCCATCCCATTGATTTGAGTTCCAGTTTCCTTTTCATTGCTATTGGTGTCCTGTGCAATTCCATTCATTTCAATTAGTTTCGCCTTCATATATTTGTCTAATTTGTCGGTATAATCAACCAGTTCTGTGAGGATCCTGATGACCAGTGTTTTAAACTGTGCGTCTGAGAGTTTTGCTATTTCTTCATCGCTTAGATCTATGGGCTCTGGGGCTTTGAGATCTTGCGACATTTTTGGTCTGTTCGTGCCCTTTAAGTGTGAGAAGTGGCGCCTTGGACTCCCAGGTTGCTGGATTGTGAGGCTGTATGTGGGGGCGTGGTCAGAGCGGGGAAATGGCGACCCCCTCTGCTGTTTCCCACAGCTGGGTGAGGATTAGCGTCTTAGGTGGTTCACCTGGGCCGGGCCACTCAGAGTCGCTGGGTTATGACGCTGTATGTGGAGGTGGGGTCAGAGCAGGGAAATGGTGGCGCCCTCCACTGCCGCTTGCTGCGGGGACCCGCCGGGCCCGGTCCAACCGCCCACTCCCTCGCCTGTCCGCCCGGGCACAAATGCGCGACCACAGTCAACACGCAGCACCGCTCCCCCGCTGTCTCCCCCGCAGTCGCTCTCCTGGTGGCTCGCTTGGTCGCTCACTAGGTCCAACCCTGCGCCTGGATTCCTGTGCGTCTGGATTCCGCGCCTGAGTCCGGCTGACTGAGACCTCCTGTGCAATCCCGCTTCACCAGCCGCTGGTTTTGCCCCTTACAGGTCAGGTTGAAGAATTTGTTGTTAACGGACTTCCGAAAAGTTCAATATTCCGTGTTCTGGCTGTGTTTTCAGTTGCTAATATTTAGTTGTCTCTAAACTTGGTTGTGTGAGAAGGCACGGCACATCCACCTATGCCTCCATCTTGGCGGAAGTCCTAATGATTTCTGACACAAGAAAAATGCAACTTCTCTTCTTTAGGTGACTTAAAAAGGAGAAAGGAAAGAGAGAGAGAGACTCAAAGATGTGAAAGATCACATTCTCTGTTAACAATAGGATTTGAAAATTAGGTTGGAATGTAGTTCAAAACCTCAATCAAACCCACTTTTCTTTTTCTGCCATTACCCAAGTAAATTACCTAAACTGTGACAGTTAAAAATAATATGCTTACCATGAAAATTTTCCAAACACAGTAAATAGAGAAAAAGTAACCCAGAAAATTAAAATATTTCCCCTTGAAAGTTTTGGAGTATTCTATTCTCTCCTGGGGGAAAACAAACACAAAACATGGTCAGTCTCGGCTAAATGTAAATTTGTATTTAACAAAAATAAATTACTTGTTCAGGCTAAGTTAAACACACACACACACACACGCACACACACACACACACAATACTAATATTAAAATAATAGTAGTAGTGAGCAACATTTACTGAATGCTACTTTCAGCCAGAATGTGAGATAAACACCTTGCATGCATTACCTTCTTTAATCTTCATAACTCTTTTTGGGTTATATTATAGTACTTCAATTTTACAGATCAGAAAACTGAATGTTAAGAGTTTAAATAACTTGCCCAAGGTCATAGAGCTAGTGAGGAGGGGAAGTTAGGCTCAGGTCTATCTGTCCCCAAAGTTTATGTTAACCTCTATCCTATAGGACTACTGCGTGAAGTGAGCCCCAAAAAGGATTTTAAAAGTTGGGACAACCTTAACTAGTATATTTTTGCATATTTAAATTATACTGCATTTTAAGTACAAATAAAAAAGTTACTTCTTGTAGTTAGGCCACTTCTCAATCTGGGTCCGTTAAAATACAGCTAGATCATGACAGAAAAATGTCTTATGCTTTTATAACTTGTAAGGGAATAAAAAGCAATCAGAGGAGCTACCATCTTGATCCTGAGTCAGCAGGAAGTGGTGTGTGCCACCTTCTTAGATGTTGAAAAGCCTCTTCTGACTATCCTACTAATTTCTATTATTGAGTGTTCCATTAAGGATTTTGCTAGTGGTAGGAGGAACATCATGAAGAGTGCAGATTTCTAATGCTTCATGGCTAATATTTAAGCTATGAGGTGCCTCTTGCACTGCTTGGCCATAGAGGACACTATAAAGCTACGTAGTCTTGTTCTCTCTTCAATCATATTGACAAAAAACACACTTCAGTTTCCTTGTTCTGTACCTTGGTAGCATATAGATCAGCTGTTTCCAGAAAAAGCTGCCTGCTTAGTTCTTCCAAAGCATCCACTTCCTGTTGAATAAGAGTAAGATCTGGCACAAAATAGGAATCAACGTTTAAACCACACAAAAGTTTCAAGAAGTAGAAATGAAGAAAGCATATGCTTTTGGTTTCTCTTAGAGTGGATCCTAGGAAACACTTGTATTTTCAATGTCCTGCTTCATAGCCAGCAGTACTACTTCAGACCAATTTTCCCAACCTCCAAACAGGTGTGTAAAAGCTTCTCCATCAAAAGCATCACCACCAAACACCCTACCACTGTTTCTTATTAGCTCAAGTAGCTCAGACAGATGGTTTTGTTTATTTTTTTGTTTAGTTAGTTAGATTAAGTCAAATTTAATCTTGGACATCTCAAGTGGTTACAAAGTAAGAAAAACACCTATAATATAGCATACTTTCTCATAAATTATCTGAATAAATACAATATTGGAAAAGGGAACTAATATTTAGAGTTCTAATACAGGCTATGATTTATGACATTTCCTTCTTTAGTTCTTTAGAGAAAATTATCTTCTATTATTCTTATAATACTTCTGTGAGATAGGTGTTATTGTCCATATTGCAGATAAGTAAAGCTCAGAGTCAAATAATTTGCTGAAAGTCCCACAGCTAATACGTGTGGATGCAAAGTCAGATCTTACTCTAAGGCCTGCTCTTTCCATTACACTATGTCACTTTCAAGAACTCGGTGAGGTCATGCTATTATTCTCTCCAGTTAATAAAACAGGCTGAGAGAATTTGAATCCTGATACTTTTGTTTAATTGATTTAGTGTCACTAAGATAGCTAAAGCCTAAACTTTGGCTTTCATAGATTTTTAAGTAATAAAAATAATAAAGACAGCCCCTTCTAAAACAGAAACATTGACTTTAATCTAAATCGTTCCTCCTCTGTGACCTTCTCCACTATTACACAAATCAGCACTTCAGTTCCTTCCTCAGTAGTGGCTACTGTTGGCATGGTCCAGCCACCAAACAATAGAGTTTAAGGAGTTAACATGTTTGCCCTCTCATGATTAGATAGTAAGCTCCTTGAAAAGTGAGGTTGTATTCTGTTCATCATTTTAGGGGATGTGAAATAACTGTTTCTTGGTTAAATTAATTTAAAGTAATTCATTCCATAACCCCTACCCCCCACCTCTGGTCATCCTACATTTCTTTGGTCTAATTCTTATCTGCAGAAAGACATGTCATAATTTAGAGGAAGAAAAGATTACATCCTTTTTCATGAATTGAAGCAGAATTTAGATTCAATTAAAAGAGAATTTGGATTTCCTCAGGCCAGAGCAACAGGAATATATTAACTACCCTACTCCTGGGCCCCCAACGTTTTGACTTGAGAGCCTGATAGCCACAAAGAGATTTGGTTACTCAATTTGGAAATTAGTTTAACACTGCAACCAGGTGGGCAACAACAATCCATTAAACCCAATCTCCTTGATTTTTAAACCAAAAAGTCACTGGAGATACACAGCAGATACATTTGCTTAGGAAAACTGTTTTTAGAAACAGGCCCTTACCATCTTATATACAGACCATACACTTTAGAGAGCCATTATGTTTTATAGTTGTTTTTCAGAGTGGAAAATGTAGTAGTGTAATGGAAAGAACTAAGAAAGAGAAACCACAGTTCTGGTTCTATCTTTGCTGCAAGCCACTGTGTGACTTAACTTCCTCTGGGTCTCTTTTCTCATCTGTAAAACGGAAAGACTCACTTGTTAGGACCTGTCCAGGTCCTAACAATGCTTTTACAATTTTAGGATCATTTATGGGTATTGGAGAGATGAATGCACACAATTTCCTAAGCCTAGCCCTGGCCTGCTGACCTTAGAAGAGACTATCCTAAACTACTTTTTTCTCTTGCCCTTGGTCCAGAGTTGAGAAGAAGAATGTATGGTGACAGCTGAGTACTAGACTTATCAGGGAGATCACTTTGTAAGTTATATAAATAGCTAATCACTATGTGCACAGCTGAAATTAATATAATATTGAATGTCAACTTTAATAAAAAAAAAGAATTAAGCAGAGGGATAAAGGATACTTTCACTTCCTGGTGCTGAAGTGGTAACACTTTTGATCATTCCCCAGAATCCTGATGGTTTGTTATGTACCTCCCCCTTCTGAAACATAGTTCTCCGTGTCATTGCCATCCTGAAATGAAAAATAACAAAACAACCAAAAAACAAAAACAAACAAAACCTCAGCAAGGAACCATGGACCCTCATAATCCATTCTCATTTACTGTCTAGTCTCATTACTACCTCTGCCTCTTTCATCTGCTGAGGTGTTCACGGAAGCATGAAAATTCTGGAGCCCCACTTTTTCATACCTTACAACTGAGGGGAAACTGTACACTCCCAAAAGCAATGAGGCCCAAGTGAAGATGGCAGAATTTGGAGTAAGTAGTAAGTTTGAGAAATGGCTCTGCCACTCAGAAGCTGTGAGACCTTTGAGTTTTCATTTCCTCATCTCTGGATAGTTGTGCAGATCAATGAAATAATATAAAAGAACTCATGTTATAAACAACAAAGTGTTACACACATATTAATAATTATCACCATTATCATTTAAGGACAAAATAAAGTAATAGCTACCACATCTAGTTAAAGGACCAGGTACAGAGTAGGAACTCAGTATTTCTTCCCACAAGAAGAAAAAAGAAAAAAACCTCAGCAAAGTCACACAAACATGGACTCTTCTAAAGCATCATCATTTTCCCTCTAACTCCAATCTCCTCCCACTACTGAATAAGTTAACAGGAACTACTATGCCTCCCCTTGTCCTCTTAATCTATGGAGAACCCACCACCACTTCAGTAGTAGCTGCTTGCATGGTCATCTACCAACATAGGTATTAAGAATAGGGTCTTTGTGAGGAAAACAAGATCAGTGGTGCATAAATGGTTACTTGAAGGGTATAATGGGCCAAAATCCATAGGCCTAAAATAAACCAGCATGAATATAATAAAAATAGAGTAGTAGGACTAAAAAAACAATTTAACTCAAGGTAGACATTTTGGGATGACAGTGCTGAGAAGGAAGAGACAGTATTGGGTATTTATATTTGGGATCAATGCAAATAATACCAATGGCATTTCTATGGTCTAAATTTTTTTAGAGCTATTGGTATTAAGCTATTGGTATTAAGAATAAAGAACATCAGACCATGTTTGTTTAATTACTTCCTTCTCAAAATGACCTTTGCTTGGATACTAAGTGAGTGGAACATAGTTCCAATTTGGCTCTTTCTGCCTTTTCCTTCAATTATACACACACTCACTATAACTCAGCATTGCTGGAAGATATAATTAATAACCAAGAACAGGCTCAGACCTAGGGAGATTTTGAGTTAACAAGACTTACAACATTTAGCTTTCCTATTCTCATAGTTGGGAAAACTGGAACAAGTATAAGAAATTCTATCCCATTCATTTAAATGTTTACTTCATCTTACCATACTGGGTTAAAGGAGAGGCAGTGGGGATAGAGGGAGCACAGAGCACATTTCTATTGTCCTTAGTTTCAATTCTACAATACAGCAAACACAATGACTGGCTGTGGAGTAGAACTGGTTAATTATGTGAAGATGACTGACACTGAATTGTGGCCCCATAACAGGGAGAGAGGTATGATCACTAGAACTGAGAGTTGGCTGCATATGGACAAGCATGGCCTTGTTTTAAACAATTCACTTTTATTTTCAATTTTATCATCTGCCTCTAAACCAATTTTTCTCTTATCAAATAAGCTGCAGATAAATAGTAACTTTTAATACATTTAAAAAAGAAAACATAACAACAAACTTCCTGAAAAAGGAAAAAAATAAGGTCCTATAGAAGCAGTTGACTTTTATCTTGAGCTTCCCTTCACCATTATTACTACTACCACCATGATCATCATCACTACTGCCTCTTTAAAACAGGGCTAGGTAAGAATAATATGCCTATTATTAGCTGAATGCCTTTTAAAAACTCACAACCTGGAAAAACATATACACTTGGCTGAGGTTTGGTGGTAGTCTTCAAGTGAAGAGGCTGAAAATTGTTTGCTACGGTTTAAATATGCTACCCTACTGTTTTCTGGTCTCCATCATTTCCAGTGGGAAGTCAGCTATTACTTTTTTCTTTTAATTAAACATTTTATTTTGAGATAGTTATAGGTTCACATGTGGTTGTAAAATAATACAGAGATCTCATGCTTTCCCCAAATTTCCCCAATGGAAAAGAAACATCTTGCAAATTTGTAGTACAATATCATAACCAGGGTACTGCCACAGATATAATCAAGTTATAGAACATTTTTATCACTATAAGGATCCCTCATGCTGCCCTTGGATAGCCCATTTTCCTCCTCTCACCTCCAACCCCTATCTAAACCCTGGCAACCATGAATCTGTTTTTCCACTTCCATTTTGTCATTTCAAAATGTCATATAAGTAGAATCATACAGTGTAACCTTTGTGGTTTGGCAATTCTATCTCAAGAGTAGACCCCCTTCTAGTTTTTGCCTACATTTTCTTAGGCTGTCTGGTATTTACTTTGCATATGTATTGTTTAATGATGAAGCAGATTTGGGCAGTTTATACCTAGATTCTATTGATTGGCTGCCTCCTGTATGAGCCAGGGGATTGAACCTAAATCTTTTGATGCATGGGATGACATTCTATCAACTGAACCACCTGGCTGGGGCTATACTTAGATTCTAGCTCTTATCCTTCTGCATTTCTCTTGCTTCCAAAAACTTCCTTTTAGACTTCCAGTTACTTTGCTGATTTGAACTCTATCAATCTGAACACCTGAGTGGATGCTGGGAAGGGTGGATAGTAGTAGAAGAGTGGGCAAGAAAGCCACAAACATGCTTGACACTCTTCTCAAATTTCTACTTGTCTTTGTTCATTTCCCAGTGCTTTCAAGTGTTTGTTTTTTAAATAATTTTTCCAGTTTTTATGATTTTCTGTAGAAGGAATTGCTTGAACTCTTTATAGTGCCATTCCTGGAAATTTCCTCTATTATGTATGGTTTAATGGCAGCTATGGCTGAGTGTTGAAATTTCACCAGTGAATATATTTTCTCCCTATCCCTATAAATTTTCAAAAGAGAGACTAAAATATTCTAACTCAAGGACAGAGGTTAAGATTTTTTCTTCATAGGAATAGCTTGTATTTAATTTTTACATGTTAATAGACTATAGTCTTTTTTACATATCACAAATATAAATTCAGAATCTGCTGGTTGAAAGAGAACCTAGAGATACTTTAGCCGACCCTGTCATTGTACAAATAAGGAAACGGAGACAGTGTAGTATTTGCTTAAGATCACTTAGACAAGTTCATTGTAATGTGATTGTTTAGCTCAAGTTCTTTTCATTATACCATGGTGTAGCTGAACAGCTGTATTTTCTATCTTCCACAAAACCGTAATTTCAAAATTGTACTAGTACCAGTTGTGAAGACTGTATTTCAGCTATATCATAGATTACCAATATAAAAGCTTTAATATCTACATCACCAGGAGAACAAAACAAAATAAACAATTCTCTCAACCAGAAAAAAGCTGAAAGGCTTTCATCACTAAGCCAACATGCTCATACTATCTGAACTAGGGTTTTTTAAAAAAAATATTTTATTTACTTATTTTTAGAGAGATGGGAAGGGAAGGAGAAAGAGAGAAACATCAGTGTGTGGTTGCCTCTCATGTGTCCCCCACTGGGGACCTGGCCCACAACCCAGGCATGTGCCCTGACTGGGAATTGAACCAGTGACCCCCTGCTTCACAGGCCCATGCTCAGTCCACTGAGCTACACCAGCCAGGGCGTGAACTAGGGTTTTGATGAATGTTTTCCAAATACTATAAACTTCATCTTCTATTCAGTGTTCCAAGTGAGAAGACAGTGTACCTCTTTCCTGTTGCCACTTTCAAACATTAACTTTTTTGTTTATAACATGTTATTTTTCTTGTATGTCATCTCACTATGATCCTCTGCTGTTAAACTGAAAGATGGTCTATAAGAGTTTGTAAAATGGTTTTTCTACATCTTGGTAAGTAAACAGCAAAGGCATTGTAGAAATCCCAGGGTTGTCAAGTTGCCCTGTTGGCTCCACTAGGTAAAGAACTATGGTAACCATGTCAAGATGGGAGGATGATTCATCTGAGAGCCACTCAAATTAAAGAGACCTATTCCAGGACCACAAACCATACCAGACCCTAACTAGACAAGGTCTATAGGGATACATCAGAGCCAATTACTAACCATGACTAGTGATAGAGTGGCTTAAAAATGCACATCTGAACTTGACTTTATATTCATCTCTTGGTATGAACAAAAGAAATACAGTAAAAGGCAGAATGTTCTTAGAAATCAAGATAGTCTTGTTCCTGTATAAATGTCTTCTAACATTGAGTATTGTTGCTTTTATTGTTATGTTTTTTAAATTTATATTCATAGTCATTCGTGTAAAATACAGAATAAATGTAAACAAAATATTTACGTAAACAAATATATGTGAATCTACTTTCAATAATCCAGTAAAAATATACAGAAATGGATACAAATAATTAGTTGGTAATTCTGGGCCTCTATCATTCTAATGTCTATTGTTATCTCTTACATCAAGGCTTCTTTGACTTGACTACGGGTCTTATTATTTAAAAGTGTTGAAGGAAGAAACATGACATGCAAAAACACATAATTTAAAACCTCCATATCATTTTATATGGGTTATAATAACTTTAACAAAGACAGCAGATTAATAAGCTTCATGAAGGTAGAAGTTGATCATCCTGTTCATCTTTGTATTTCTGTGTACTATTCAGCATTTATTACAGTACCTGGAATAAACTAGGCTTTCTATAATTATTAAGTGAAATAGATGAATGAATAAATGAAGGCAAAGCATTAAAAGCAAATGATTATCCTACAGAGATTATTAATAAGTTCAATAGTTTTCCTTAGGTATATATAATTCACTATTCTAAGAACTTTACATGTCAGCTCATTATTTCTACTTTACAGATGAGGAAACCAAGACATAAGGAGATAAAGTAACTAGTATAAGGTCCCTACAAGTTGTAGGCCAAGGATTCAAATTCAGACAGTCTGAGTCTAGATAGAGCTTATGCTTTTACCCACTGTGACATAAATTTCTAGAAATGCCACTTTGAAAACATACATTCCAAACACTTTTAAAATAATAAAAACAACAACAATAGCTGCAGATAAAAATTTTTGAAAGTAGAGAAAAGAAAGTTGAAAAGTCATAAAAAACTCTGTAAAAATTCAGGACAATAGACTTTTAAAACATCCAGTGTAGACTACCTCCAATATAAAATATTCTAAGGATCTATCTCAAGAGAATTTATCTAAAGTCAGGAAGTAGGTTGTACTTGAAATTTTTCTCTCATATAGGGCTAGATATTAAGTCTTTGATGATAACTTATAATGAAAATGAGTAAGAAGAAATTCCGTTAGCATCAATTCATAGCCAAGTTTTTTGTTTAGAAATTCTAACAGTACAGGTTTTTTTTGATGTGCTGATTTCTTACCTTTTCTTTTTGCTTATGATCATATCCATAGTTTGGAGCAGTCGCCGTTCCAGGGCTAGAATATCTATGTCAGTCACATTCCTATAACAAGCACAAACTATTAGCAATGTTTTGGGGTCCCATCCTCGGGCATAATACAAGGCAGCTAGAGAACCACATAAGCTTCAATGTTACCCAGCAATTCAAGAACCTGTCTCTTTCTAGAAAATATTAAAATGAGCAAAAAAACTTTGCTGTTATTTTTTATAGCTAATACTTCCGCAGTCTCAGGGTTATGGAAGGTAACTAGCTCTTTCATAGCCTTTCTTTGCTTTCATTCAGTGACATTTATGATGCATGTGTAAGCACACTTTTAACTTGGCATTTGTCCTCTACTGTTCCACTTTTTTTAGGAACTAATTTGTTGAGATTAGCTCATATTACTACCCTCTAGAAATGTGCCTTTAAAAGTGGGGTGGGGTGAGTAGGGGGTGGAGAGGGTCAAATTGAAATTACCATTAAAATAAATAAATGTATTATTTATAAATAAATAAAGTATTATTGCTTATATTGCTTGCCTTTATTTTTCCTACATTTATTTAGAACGATTCCTAGTAAATGCCCATAAGGACAGAGGAAAAGAATAGAAGGGCAGTGTTGCCGGTATACTTTAGTACTAATGATGGTGGCATGATATGACATATATATTCAAGAAGTAAAGGGAAAAAAAGAAGAAAGACAAAGTTCTCATTACCTGAGGAAGTAGGACATGTAAGTGTATGGACAGTTGACAGCACCAAATCCAGAAAGAAGAGCCATGAGAGTCACACCAATAACACCTACCCGGCTGATGAGCTGTTCTATGGACAAGATTCCTGAAAACACCAGGTAATAGACATTAAAATGGCTTTCATCTGCACTGCAAAAGGAAACATCACCAAAATTTTATAAACTATTACATACAACTAGCATACAGAGGCCAGATTTTATTACTGTGTAGATAATCTATAATAAATATGTAAGTCTATTGATTTTCCTTGTTTCGTATGCTTCCCAGAATCATCTCTATCACTGGATGATGGTAATAATAAAATAACAATATAATTATATATAATACTATTAACTGTTTACTCAAGGTAGTATGAACTCTAACAAAGCAAAGTACTTTCAGTATAAGTTTTGGCCAAAGAAAAAAACCTGACAGAAAAACAGGAAAGTAAATTTGCTGGAAGAGTATATATGGCAAGTAGCAACTTCTGTTCTGGTCACCTTCGAAATATATATTCTGCCCTTAGGTAATAAGCTCTTTAGTTTATGTTATTCATTTTTTCCAAACCTAAAGTAAACAATTTTATATATTTATAAGTATATTTTATTGATTATGCTATTACAGTTCTTCCATTGTTCTTCCACTTTATCGCCCTCTACCCAGTACCCCTATTGGCTCCACCATTCCCCCACCTTTGTTCATGTCCATGGGTCATACATGTCTTTGGCTTCTCCATTTCCTTTATTACACCTAATACCACCCTATTTATATCTATCAATTATGCTCCTTATTCCCTGTGCCTTTTTTCCCCCGCTCCTGATACCCCTCCATATGATCTCTATTTCTGTGAATCTGTTCCTGTTCTAGTTGTTGGCTTAGTTTTTTTTTGAGGTTTGGTTGGTGACAGCGGTGAGTCTGTTTTAATTTTACTGTTTGTATTTTTGATTATCTTCTTTTTCTTAGATAAGTCCCTTTCACATTGCACATAATAAGGGCTTGGTGATGATGAACTCCTTTAACTTGACCCTATCTGGGAAGCACTTTATCTGCCCTTCCATTCTAAATGATAGGTTTGCTGGAGAAACTAATCTTGAATGTAGGTCCTTGCCTTCCAGGACTTGGAATACTTCACTTCCTTTCAGCCCCTTTCTGCCTGAAAGGTTTCTTTTGAGAAATCAGCTGCTAGTCTTATGGGCACTCCTTTGTAGGTATAATTGTCTCCTTTTTTCTTGCTGCTTTTAAGATTCTCTTCTTATCTTTAATATGGGGAAATGTAATTATAATATATCTTCGTGTGTGCTTATTTGGGTCCAACTTCTTTGGGACTCTCTGAGCTTACTGGACTTCCTAGAAGTCTATTTCCTTTGACAGATCGGGGACGCTCTCCATTATATTTTTAAGTAAGTTTTCAATTTCTTCCTCTTCCTCTTCTCCTTCTGGTACCCCTATGATTCAGATGTTGGAAAATTTAAAGTTGTCCCAGAAGTTCCTAAGCCTCTATTTTTTAAAAAATTCTTCTTCATTCTGTTCTGATTGAATGTTTATTTTTTCCTTTAGCTCCAAATTGTTGATTTGAGTCCCACTTTCCTTCCCTTCATTGTTGGTTCCCTGTATTTTTCTTTACTTCACTTTGCACGGCCTTCACTTCTTCCTTTTGCAACCATACTCTAACATTTCTGTGAGCATCCTGATCATCAGTGGTTTGAAGTCTGCATCTGATAGGTTGAATATATCTGTGTTAGTTCTTTTTCTGGAGTTTTAGTCTGTTCTTTCATTTGGGCCATATATCTTTGTCTTGGTGTGCCTGTTACTTTGTAAGGGCAGGAGACTTAGGTATTTGCCAGGGTGGAGCAACTCCACATTGGTGCGTTGTTGCACTCTATGTGGGTGAGGAGTCAGAGAGGGAATAATGCCACTTTCTTGGCTCTCACCCCCTTTGTCACTTCCCCTACTTCCTACAAGAGAATTGTGCCCTTGGAGCTGCTGCCCTGGTGCTGATTCCCCGGTGTGTGGGTTTGTTTATGTTCTAGGATACCATGGGCCTCTCCAACGGATTCTCCTGAGACTGGCAGTTTCCCTGCCGTTGCAACCCCCATAGGTTTTTACAGCCTGAGGTTTTGAGGCTTTATTTTCCCAAATTGGAACCATGGGTTGTGCAATCTGTCTCGCTCCCCAGTTGTTCCTCCCAGTTTATCTGCACGTGAATGTGGGACTGCCCCGTCTGCCAGCCACTGTGCCAACTGCTTGGTCCACCATCTGCAGCCTTGCCGGGCATCGTCTCTGCCATGGCTGCCCATCTCCACCCCTCCTACCAGTCTGGATGAATGTTTCTCCCTTAACTCCTTGGTTGTCGGACTCCCATACAGTTCGATTTTCTGGAAGTTATGGTGGTTTTTTGTTTTAAAACTGGTTGTTATCCTTTTGGTTTTGCAAGGAAGTGAAGTATATCTACCTAAGCCTCCATTTTGGCCGGAAGCCACATGTTATTCACTTTTGCCACCGTAAGCACATACTCATCTAAAAAATGGGCTGAATTTATGGATGAATAAGTAATTCAAAGGAAAATACATTAATTTTAGATTATTGGTTGTATTCTAATTATCATTACTTCTTTATTTGAGAATAGTGAAAATCAGCTAAGTAGTTAAGATAAATGCTGCCACTGATGCCTTTTGGATAAATAAGAGAAAGCTATGCTGAATAATAACTCAGATCATTTGGTGCCACACAAAAAAAGTTTTAATTTGTTGTTCACTTTCCATTTCTAGTATAGAATCTACTTCAGCCATTTACTTCTACGGCCAAATGCCAGGGCTGCCACTCAGAAATTCTCTTAGCTTTGAAATGAAAAATTTCAGTATTTGAGTCCCCTTGGTCCTTCATTTCCACCACACTGGGGGTCTTTGGGACCCCCGGTCTCCAGTCTTTTGCTTTCCCTTACCTTCCATGTCCTCATTCACTGAACCTGGACTTCAGGATTGCTTGCTTCAACTTCTCTCACTGGGACTCTTAGTCCTCTGCTCTCCTTCAGAATCACTGATCCTGCAAATACTCAACCCTAAATCAATCGAATACTCTGCCTTTCCATGCCCAAATCTATCTTTATTTTTCATAGCTAATGCCTTTATTATTATATAAGAAATAAGTTAGTAGAAATGAACCAACTCCACTCTACTATATATATATTACATTGGCAATCATTCTCCCAGCTTGTCCCCCCAGAACAATATGGTGCTTAAAGCTATGACTTCTTACTTGTGTGTTTTTTTTCAGGGCTAACTATATCTTATTGATTATGTTATTACTGTTGTCCCATTTCTTCTCCCCTGTATTCCCCTCTGCCCTGTAACCACCCCACCATCATTCCTCCACCTTAGTTCATGTTCGTGGGTCATACATGTAAGTTCTTTGGCTTCTCCATTTCCAGTACTATTCTTAACCTCCCCCAGCCTATTTTGTACCTACCAATTATACTTCTTATTCCCTGTGCCTTTTCCACCATTCTCCCTACTCCCTGATAATACCCCTCCATGTGATCTCTATTTCTGTGAATTTGTTCCTCTTCTAGTTGTTGGTTTAGTGTTTTTTTCTTTTAGGTCTGGCTGTTGACAGCTGTGTTGGTTGTAATTTTACTGTTTGTATTTTTGATGTTCTTCTTTTTCTTAGATAAGTCCCTTTTGTGTTTCTTATAATATGGGCTTGGTGATGATGAACTCCTTTCACTTGACCTTATCTGGGAAGCACTTTGTCTGCCCTTCCATTCTAAATGATAGGTTTGCTGGAGAGACTAATCTTAGATGTAGGTCCTTGCCTTTCACAACTTCAAATAGTTCTTCCAGTCCCTTCTTGCCTGCAAGGTTTCTTTTGAGAAATCACCTGGTAGTCTTATGGGCATTCTTTTGTAGGTAACTCTTTCCTTTCCTCTTGCTGCTTTTAAGACTCACTCCTAATGTTTAATCTTGTGTAATTATGATGTATCTTGATGTGTTCCTCCTTGGGTCCAACTTTGTTGGAACTCTTTGAGCTTTCTTTCTGGACTTCCTGGAAGTCTATTTCTTTCACCAGATTGGGGAAGTTTTCCTTCATTATTTGTTCAAATAAGTTTCCAATTTCTTGCTGTTGTTCTTCTCCTTCTGTTACCCCTATAATTCGGATACTGGAACATTTCAGGTTGTCCTAGAGGGTCGTAAGTCTCTCTTCCTTTTCTGAATTCTTGTTTCTTTATTCTGTTCCCGTTGGATGTTTATTTTTTCCTTTTGTTCCAAATCGTTGCTTTGAGTCCTGGTTCCCTTCCTGTCACTATTGGTTCCCTGAGTATTTTGTTTTATTTAATTTTGGGTATCTTTGTTTTTTCATTTTTCGATCAAGCTCAATCATTTTGACTACCAGGGCTTTAAATTCCCCATGAGATAGATTGGCTCTGTCTTCATCGCTTAGTTCTCTTTCTGAGGTTTTGCTCTGTTCTGTCATTTGGGCCCTTTTTCTTTGTCTCAGGGCACCTGTTAAGTTGTAAGAGGGCAGGACCTTAGGTATTCACTCGGGCAGGGCAACCCTCTTTGCTGTGCTGTGGTACTGTCTGTGGGGGAGGGGCCAGAGAGGGAACAATGCAGTTCACCGGCTTGTCTCTAGCCCACTTTCCAATGAACTCTTGTGTGAGACTGGGAGTTTCTCCCACTGTGGCAACTGACGCAGTCCATAGTCAGCTCTGATTCTCAGTTTTGCCTTCAGGCAGGTCTGCCTGCAATCTGCCAACTCAGTGTGGCTTTTCTGAGCCATCCCTACCCTCAAGGTCCACCAAATGTCCATGGTTTTTCTGAGCTGGCCCTGCCTGCATGGCCTCACTGCAAGTTCTTAACGGTCCAGTTTGATTTTTTTCTTTAATTCCTTGATTACTGGAGTTCCATGCAGTTTAATTTTCTGGCACTTCTGGTTGTTTATTGATTTTAGATGGGTTGTAATCTTGTTTTTGGTTGTGCGAGGAAGTGAAGGGTTTGTACCTATGTCTCCATCTTGGCTGGAATTGAACTTATTACTCTTAAGGGTCAAGTATGTTAGACATCTAAACATTCAGACATAAAAATCAAAATGCTTATTTACTGGAGCACGAAGATAAGACTAAAACTAACACTATCTCCCTACTTCTTCCTCTCAGTGTGTTCTTCAGGATATTCTCATAGAATTTAGAAAAAGGAATAGATTAAAGTACATCAGATGTGATGGCCTTCTTTTTCTTTTGGGCAAGATCTGGCATCACTGGCTACATGAGCTTACTGCTCAAATGGAAAAAGCTGGAGAATGGCATCGTAGTCACATCTTTGGACTGAATGTGAGCTTGTGCTGTCACTGTAAGCAGCCCTGGGGTCCTTTTATCCCTCATTTCTAATATCAGAAACAAATCTATCTCTCTATAGGTTTTTTTCAAAATAGTTTATATGAAAGCTATATTATAAAGGCCTCTCTCCTCCAAATCTATCCCTACACTGCCATGGGCATTCTGACCATACTAGCAAGTCCTAAATTCCTGTCTACATTCTTAGATAAGTTCCACTTACATTTCATATAATAAGGGCTTAGTGATGATGAACTCTTTTAGCTTTACCTTGTCTGGGAAGCCATTTATCTGTCCAAATAAATGATAGATTTGATGGACAGAGTAATCTTAGATGTAGATCTTTGCTTTTCATCATTTTGAATACTTCTTGTCGGTCCCTTCTTGCCTACATGGTTTCTTTTGAGTATCAACTGATAGTATTATGGGAACTCCTTTGTAGGTAACTCTCTTCTCTTGCTGCTTTTAAGATTCTCTCTTTATCTCAGCTGATAGTCTTATGGGAACTCCTTTATAGGCAACTCTCCTCTTTTCTCTAGCTGCTGTAAGATTCTCTATCATTTTAACTATGATGTATCTTGGTGTAGCACTCTTTGTGTCTAACTTGTTTGGGACTCTCTGAGCTTCCTGGACTTGTATGTCTATTTCCTTTGCCAAACTGGGGAAGTTTGCGTTCATTATTTTTTCTTTTTTCAGGTAAGTTTTCAATTTCTTGTTCTTCCACTTCTTCTAGCACCCCTATTGTTCAGCTGTTAGTATGTTTAAAGTTGTCCCAGAGGTTCCTAGGCCTCTCCTCATTTTTTTTTTTTTTTTAATTCTTGGTTCTTCTTTCTGTCCCTGGTGAATGTTTGCTTTTTTCTTTTGTTTCAAATCATGATTTGAATCCTGGCTTCCTTCCTTTCACTGTTGGTCCCCTGTATATTTTTCTTTACTTCACTTTGTATAAGCTTCACTTCTTCCTTCCATACTCTTATCATTTCTATGAGTATCCTGATCAGTATTTTCAACTCTGCATTGATTAGCTAACTATCTCTGTGTCACTTAGTTCTTTTTCTGGAGTTTTAATCTGTTCTTTCATTTGGGCCATAACTTTCTTTGTCTCCTCAAGTTAGCAGCCTCCCTGTGTTTCCTTGTATTAGGTAGAGCTGCTGTGACTCCCCATGTTGGTGCACCTGTTATGTTGCAAGGGGCAGAGACTTTGATATTTGCCAGGGCTGGGCAACGTGCTTTGCTGCTTTGTGGTGCTGTCAGTGGGGTATGGGTCAGAGAGGGAACAATGCCACTTGCTTGGCTCTTACCCTGTTTCCAGTCACCTCCCCCACTTCCCATTAGCAACTGGTGCCCTTTTAGCTGTTGCCTTGGTGCTGATTCCCTGAGTGGGTGGGTTTGTGTATGTTCTGGGACCCAGTGGGCACTTAAACAGACTCTTCTGAGAGATTGGCAGTTTATTCCACTGCCCCAATCCCCATTGGTTTTTACAACCAGAGGTTCTGAGGCTTTATTTTCCCAGTGCTAGAACCCTGGGCTGCACTGTCTGGCCTGGGACAGGGATCGCTTGCTTCCCATGGTTCCTGCTAGTTTTTATCCATTGCACATGAACGTAGGACCACCTGTTCTGCTAGCAGCCACCTTACCACTGCAGCCTCGGCATGCCACACCATGTCCTCTGTACTCTGGCTCCCCATCCCTGCTCTTCCTACTCACCTGGATGAATGATTCTTCTCTAAATCCTTGGTTGTTGGACTTACATACAGTTTGACTTTGTGGCAGTTGTGATTATTTTTTGTTTATGATTGGTTGTTATCCTTCTTATGGTTGTGCGAGGAGGCAAAGCATGTCTACCTATATCTCCATCTTGGCTGGAAGTCTAGCATATTTTCTTATACTACAGAATGTGGTGGAAAGCCAAAAGTTCTTTCCAGGATTTCCTTAAAGGTAAGTGTCAGAATGTTACTTAGGCTGCATCAAATTCACATGCTCAAGTGAGATCTCAAATGAATAAATAAGTATTGTGGGAATAATAAGAGCATTTGGGGGATGGAGCAGCCAGAGCAGAAGTTCTTCTGTCTGGCCCTTGATATCATAGGTCCTGACAGGCAGGTGACAACTTCAGTGGTTTTTTCTAGTTTACTACTGCAGTATTTCTGTGGTGGTATCTTCACTCTTCTACATACCATTTAAGCTTCATGTCTCCACTTTCCTAGAAATTTTATAAACTCCCTAAAGCCCAGAAATAAATCACTTTATGCTTTATACTAGTTATATCTGAACTAGTTATATTGTTTTCTGCTATAAGAATCCTGATACAGCAGAAAAGTGAAAAGAATAGGGGCTATATATATAAATAAATTAGAGAACTCACCTGCAATAAATATATATATTTATATTTTAACATATTAAAATATATTTATATTTTATATTTATAAGATATATTTATTACAGGTGAGTTCTCTAATTTATTTTAGCCAGATCTGTATATATATATTTCTCAAGTAGTTCTATAAGGATTTGTTAGCCAAGAGATTTTTGTTTATTGTTCTTAGCACAGAAATTCGGAGTCAGTTCACGACCTATTTTTATATTTAAAATAAACTTTGTGTGAGGAGAGATACTTTTTCCTAGAAAAATTTTCTATTCTTACTAATTTTGAGTGTTTCATGTCACTGGTATTTCCCAAAATACATAAACTCCCATCTATTGCCTTACCAGGCTGAACACAACCAATTTCATCTGATCTCAGAAGCTAAGCAGGATTGGGCCTGGTTAGTACTTGGATGGGAGACCAAAATACATATATTCCCTAAAGATAATCTTTTAAATTTACTTATTTATTTATAAACAGAGGGGAAGGGAGAGAGAAAGAGGGGGAAAGAAACATCAATGTCTGTTTGCCTCTCACACACCTCCTTACTGGGGACCTGGCCTGCAACCCAGGCATGTGCCCTAGACAGGGAATTGAACAAGCAACGCTTTGGTTTGCAGGCCAGCACTCAATTCACTAATCCATAGCAACCAGGGCTAAAGATAAACTTTACCACCACTTTATCAGTGACCATTTGCCTGTTGGGTCACAGACCCCTTTGGTAGTTGGATAAAAGCTTATGGACAACCTAACTCCAAATACACATACAAATGTATTCCTATAATCTGCCTATACTACCAGGAGATTTAAGTTAAGGACACTTTTGTGTACTCCTTACTCCCCTGAAGTTCATTCACTAACCTAAGGTCTAAAATTTCTGCTCTGAAACGAAAGATATCTGTTCCAAAGTCAGCATTTGACACACCCTAGGATGAAAGAAAAATTTGGTTCATAAACAGAAAATTTTTAGAGACATAATTTGCTCTACTTCCTTCAATCATAAGTTTTTAAAGGTTATTTTTTTCAGTATCAGAAAATTATAAACAACCCATTCCCCCTCCTCATCACATATATACTCACCGTGTTTTGGGCTAAGAATGGGAAATGGATCTCCTAGTTTCCAGAAGAAATACATAAACGTCAACCATAAAAGACAGGAAAAAAGCAGTCGCTGTTTATGCACTAAGAAAGAGGAAACAAGGCTGTAAAGTTAAATAGATACATGCTAAAGAGCTTACTCTACTTAAAAGATACAGGAACATGCTAATTAATGTTTGGCTGGCTTGTTCGCTTGGCAAATCAGTGATGGAACATGATAAAATTTTTAGAGAAAGCATCTTTACTGCCATACAAAAAACTGGCTGAAATGAAGATGTGGGCTGAATTGAGGGAAATAATCTAATAGAAACAGAAATAGAACCGTGGCAGGATAAATAACCTAATCATTCATTCAATATTAATTTTGTGCCAACCTTTTAAAAATGCTGTGTATGAGGTGGCCCCAAAGAACAGCTACTGAAAGTAATATAGAAATGAAGCTCCCCCCAGCCTCAATCTATGTGCCAACACGAAAGGGTAAAATACTCACACAGTCGGATGTTGCTCACAATAAAGTAGCCAATGTAAAAAGGCACCATAAAAACCAGGATAAGCAGAATTATGCACAGGTTCATTTTCCAGTGAAAATAACGGGAGCTGAAATAGACGTCAAAGGTTATCACTAGGAGGGGAAGAAGACAGCAACTTTCATTCTCTTTAGTCTTCCAAAAGATCTCTTGCTCTTTGCACTTACTGAATATATCCCAGGTAATTAGTCAACTAGGCTGTTACTATCTGCTCATTCATAGAGAATAAAAAACAAAGTTCTAGAAGGTATACATAATCATACATAAAAATTTCACTTATTAAAACGAGATCATTAGTGCTCTACTTATATTCAGAGGCAATTTATAATAATATATATCAACATATACTATTACAGGTACAATCACTATTTTTTCACTTACCACTGGGAGTCTTATTCCAAGTGAGAATTAAAAAATAATACATGTCAATAGTAATATGTGCTAAAAGACTCAGAAATATTTCTTTTATACCCATAATATAATTGAACATTTGATTTGCATGACTTTATTACTGCATATCACATTGTGGTTTGGATTAGCATTTCTTTGATTGGATGGCTAATGATGTTGAGTATCTTTTCATGTGCTTATTGTCTATTTTATTTTATTTGAAAAAATACCTATTCAAATCCTTTTTCCATTTTTCAATTGTGTTATTTGCCTTTTTATTACAAAGTTGTAAGAATTTTTTATATATCCTAGACAGAAGTCTTTTATCAGACATGTGATTTACAAAAATTCATTCTCAGGATACCTGTTCACTTTCTTTTTTTAAAAAATTTTTTACTGTTGTTCAATTACAGTTGTCCCCATCCCCCCTCCCCCCGCCATTACATTCCCCTGCCTGACACATCCCCCACTTCTCACCTTCAATCCCTCACCACCCCCCCCCGTTGTCTTTATCCATGGGTCATTTATACATGTTCACTTTCTTGATGGTGTCCTTTGTATTTACTGATCTTAAATTTATTTATATTTAGGCCTTGTTTAAAAAAAAAACAGAAAGGTTAGTTGGTTTCAAAAAAAAGGTTAGGTGGTTAAGTGGCTTATGAGGCTACATAAAATAAAAGATGATGACATAAATTAAGGAATAGGAAAGGAAAGTGACATATAAGGAAATATAAAAGAAAGGAAACACTGACTTAAAGTGGAGTGGCTACTACAAATGGAAAGCCAGAATATACTTCTAATGGTTGATAGTTTTCGGAACCCTTTGACTGTGGAGGATTTGAATCTCCCATTCTATAAACAAGTATTTCTGGTATGATGGCAGGGGTGGAGAGGGTGGTAGGAGAGGGAAAGGGTATAAGGGAGATAAATGGTAATGAAAAAAAAATACAATAAAAAAACACTTAGTAAAAGCAAGTATTTCTGACCATCTCTCTCTAAAGAATAACCCAGACTACTCTGTTTTTATTCTGGGTTATTGAGTGCTATAGTCAAACATAAACCAAACTTGGGGGAAAGGAACCAATAATGGCAAAAATCTGTGGATAGCTTCCCACTCTGGGCAAGGAAGAGAGAGCTAGGAGAATCCTGTCAGAGCTGCTGGGACTGAGCGAGTATTTGGGACTCTTGTGCCTATGGGGAGAGATTCCTTTGTAAGAGGCTTTCCTAAGTGTTGGAACAAATCCCCATAGATGTTTAGGATATTGATGGAACCAATGTTTGGTTATCTAGGAGCATGCATTTCAGCCTTTCCTCACCTCTCACCCAACTGGGTAATTTGAATCCCCTTTCCTCCAATGAACTCTGAAAACAGCCCAGAAGACTGGGCCATCCTTAGCCATCTATCTTGTTTCTAACCTCTGTAAACTTCTGTATTTTCTATCTTATATATCACAAGAAATTATTGTGTACAGTTTCTATTAAAAGTTAAGATGTCATGAATATATTTTTAAAAAAGAAAGTAGAAAGCAATACTACAGGTAGGTAAACTATCAGGCCAGGCATAATGGCTGTTAGGAAAATGCACACCATAGCCCTGGCTGGTGTGGCTCAGTGGACAGGGGAGAGTGGTGGAGGAAGATGGAGACAACCATACTTGAACAACAATAAAGCAAAATGGAAAAAAAAACCCTAGATTCTGAATGTTGTCAATGCACATATATATAATACACAATCAAGGCTCATATTTCTATTACATAATAGAGTTATGATGTTATTAAGAACTGGTGTTCAGCCTTCAAAAAAGCCCTTAACTTTGAGGAATTCTGACCTTTTTAGGTAGAGATTTTTCAATTAGCAGAACTATGTGGAAGGTCATTACTGGAATTCACTCACACAATAGATTGAGAAAATAAAACTTCTAGGAGTGAATCTTAGGTAGGACCTAGGGTCTTAGAGACTCAATTAGTATTTCAGAGCTAAAAAAATGTTCAGAGATTTTTTTTCCTGGTTTTTCACAATCTTTGTCAAACCTATTACTAGGTGATTGGGACCTGTATTTGGTGCTATTATTATAGTACTGAAACTAAACGAAGCACATGGTAAAGTTTTTCAGCTATGGGACTCAAGAAAGTCTTTTCCTGCAAACCAAACTTGGGGGAAAGGAACCAATAATGGCAAAAATCTGTGGATAGCTTCCCACTCTGGGCAAGGAAGAGAGAGCTAGGAGAATCTCTTAGCTCTCTTTAAGAGGAGAGGTAATTAGTACGCTTACTTACCTGCTATTCAATACTCCTAAGATTTCAAAGATGATGAGTTCAAACATGGTGCAAGAAAACGCGAAAGTCACAGAGAAGATCACCTGTACAACATACTGACGCACCTGTTAAAAGCCAAATAGAGACCAAGAGTCATTTTCTTATTTCAAATACTGAACTGATAATCTTCTGATAATAAGTCAGAAAACTTATTTTGAAGAAATTCTCAAGCCATTGGAAAAAAGCCCACAAAAGTCACTTGATTGGAGCTAAAGAAATAGATAATAGTAGGGGGAATGCAGACTGCTGCAGTCACTGTGGAAAATGTTATGGAGTTTCCACAAAAAATTAAAAATGGAACTTTCTTTTGAGACAGAGATCCTACTTCTTGGAATATATCTGAAGAAACCTGCAACACTAACTTGAAAGACTATACGTACCCCATGTTCAGCAGCACTATTTATAATAGCCAAGATTTGGAAGCAACCCAAGTATGAATAGCCCAGTCATCTACTGATGAGTAGATGAGAAGATTAAAAAATGTGATACATTTACAGGATAGAATACTACTCAGTTATAAAAAGAATAAAATATTACCTTTTGTGACAGCATGGGTGGACCTACAGGGTATTATGCTGAGTAATAAGTCAGTCAGAGAAAGACAAACACCATATCATTTCACTTATACGTGGAATCCAATGAACAAAACAAACAAACAAACAAACAAACAAACAAACAAACAAACTAGAAACAGACTCATAGATACAGAGAATAGACTGATAGCAGTCAGAGAGGAGAGGGGTTGAGGGGCTGGGTGAAACAGGTAAAGAAATTAAGCACAAGACTTCCGCCAAGATGGAGGTATAGGTGGATGTGAGTCCCCATCAGACTGTTAGCAGATTTCTCAAAAGAGACCTTACAGGCAAGAAGGGGCTGGAAAGAAATATTCCAAGTCATGAAATCTAAAGACCTACAACCAAGATTGCTCTACCCAGCAAAACTTTCATTTAGAATGGAAGGACAGATAAGGTGCTTCTCAGATAAGATCAAATTCAAGGAGTTCATCATCACCAAGCCCTTATTATATGAAATGTTAAAGGGACTTATCTAAGGAAAAGAAGTTAAAGAAACATGAACAGTGAAAGAACAACAAGCTCACAGTTATTAACAACCACACCTAAAACAAAAGCAAACTAAAAGGACAGCTAGATCAGGAGTGGAAACATAGAAATGAAGATCTCAAGGAGGGTTAGCAACAGGGGAGTGGGAGGAGGAGATGGGGGGAGAAGGTACAGAAAATAAGTAGCATAGACAGTAGATAGAAAATAGATGGGGGGCAAGAATAGCATGGGAAATATAGAACCTAAAGGACTTGAGACACATGGACATAAACTAAAGGGGGGTAATGGAGGGGGAGGGGGGGGCAGGGTGGAGGGGAATGAAGGGGGGAATAGAACAACTGTAACAGCATAATCAATTTAAAAAAATAAATTAAAAAAAAAAAAGAAATTAAGCACAAAACAACCCCCCCCCACACAAAACAATCTGTCATAGATACAGACAATAGTATGGTGATTCCCAAAGGGAAAGAGAGTTGGGAGCATGTAGAAGAGGGTAAAGGGATAAATGGTGATGGAAAATGTAGAGTAATCATAGTCAGTCATGCTCCCTCACCCAGATGTCTGGGCAACTAAGATAAGCAATCTCATAGCCTTGAAAATGCGCCCTATAAGCAATGCTCCCATAACCTTGAGTGGGCCTGCATGTGCAGAGTCACATTATACAATATTTTGGCTCCCTGCTGGCTTTGTGTGCAACTTAGTATATATGGGAGTTGGGATTCCCTGCCAGTGTGACACATGGCTTGTGGTGTACATGGATTGCCCCACCCTTGAATAAAGGCATGCCAGGCATTCCCATAGCTCTGTGAAGTTTCTTCTGTTTATTGGAATTTCAAGAACCTGCCTGGCCTTAAACTGTTGCAACACAATTGGTGCCCTCAGCAGGATTAGTGGTAGTATGGAGGAGCTGTTGACCTCCTTAGACAGGGGTCTGGAAGGGTGGCTGGTCACCAGTATGTGGTATCTGGTGGTCAGTCTCCAGTTGGCAGTGTGGGCTTTCAATTCCCGGAGCTCGCCTGATGTTAGTGGCACACCTGACATGGTACAGAAGGCCCTGTACGTAGTAGGGGAGACCCTAGAGAAGCTGAGTGCTTAGGTGGTGATGGGCTGTGTGTTTCTTTCAGCTTTGTGAGGTGAGACATAACTATATTCTGCGTGGCAGCGAAGTTCTGAGAGCTCCTTGAGGGAGCAGAAGCCTGGGCCCGTACCCTGAAAGAAGACCTCCGAACAGCAGAGCCACAATATCCTCCTCCTCAACTGTAGTGAATGATTTGGAAGAAGAGGAGGGGAACTGCCACTTCCATACCCTCTCCTCCCCCCTGCCCCACACAGACATGGACCACAGCTCAGAGTGACTGAGCCTGAGGACTGTGGTCCAGGTTGGGTATTCTGGCACTGGCGGCACTGCTACCTGCAAAGCTCCGCTCCTAGTGTGCTGAACAGAGCAGATTGGCAGTTGCGGACGTGGCCAGAAGAAAAGCAGCAGCAGTTGGGAGGTACAGTGTCTTGAACTCCCTCTGTTTGATAGTTAAAGAGTAAGCCGAAGTAGTTGTGAGCTAAATGCTTCCTGAGACCCTAAAAGGCGGTGAAGAAAAAACCTGGGGGTGCACCCTAAGAAACTGGTCCTGTGTGTCTGGAAGACCATATGGCTGTGTCAACCTCCCAAGAAGAGAGAAGAAATATCCTTTGGACATTTTAATAGGGGAGGGCCAAAGAACCCATCTACAGGGGATGGATGAAGGTGAAGCCAGTGCAGCTCTCTGTGTTGGGTGTTTACCACCCTCCTCCCTGTGAGTACACTATTTAGAAGCACCCCCTTTCCTGAGGCCTGTTGAAGATCTTTGTGGGGATACGCTGACTATCCCCCAGTTCAGTTGCTATCCCCATGAAGGGTTATGGCAGTTAAACAGACACAATCTGGTTAAACAATGGAGTAGGTCAAAGTAGCCAGTAGACAGAACTGTAAGCTGTGTGGCTTGTGGCTGTCAATGAAGCACCACCCCTAACTATTTGCACAGTTAGTTGGGAGGTGTACCAGAGAATGACCTTAAGGATCTCTACATGGAATGCAAATAAATGGTTATGCATATGCCATTACAGGGGCAAGCCTTATGGCAAGACCTATGAAAATTAGGCTACCAGGAGCAAATCACTGTATATCATGTGACTGGGCATACACCCCTTTCTTCCCCTGGGAATGATGAGGCTGATACGCTACCCAAGGTGTGATGGCTAGAAACGGTGCCTGTCAGCCCACCAGGAAGAGAAGTGGCCCAGAAGCTATATCATCTTTTTAAAAAATATATAACTTTATTGATTATGCCATTACAGTTGTTCTATTCCCCTCTTCATTCCCCTCCACCCTGCACCCACCTCCACCCCCACCATTCCCCCCTTTAGTTTATGACCATGTGTTTCAAGTTCTTTGGATTCTATATTTCCCATACTATTCTTGCCCTCCCCCTATTTTCTACCTACCATCTATGCTACTTATTTTCTGTACCTTCTCCCCCCTTCTCCTCCTCCCACTCCCCTGTTGCTAACCCTCCATGAGATCTTCATTTCTATGTTTCTGCTCCTGATCTAGCTGTCCTTTTAGTTTGCTTTTGTTTTAGGTGTGGTTGTTAATAACTGTGAGTTTGTTGTCCTTTCACCTTTCATATTTTTTATCTTCTTTTCCTTAGATAAGTCCCTTTAACATTTCATATAATAAGGGCTTGGTGATGATGAACTCCTTGAATTTGATCTTATCTGAGAAGCACTTTATCTGTCCTTCCATTCTAAATGAAAGCTTTGCTGGATAGAGTAATCTTGATTGTAGGTCTTTGGATTTCATGATTTGGAATACCTCTTTCCAACCCCTTCTTGCCTTAAAGTCTCTTTTGAGAAATCCACTGACAGTCTGATGAGAACTCCTTTGTAGGTGACTGTCCCCTTAGCTCTTGCTGCTTCTAGGACTCTCTCCTTCATTTTAATCTTGGCTAATGTAATTATGATGTGCCTTGGTGTGTTTCTTCTTGGGTCCAAATTCTTTGGGACTCTCTGAGCTTCCTGGATTTCCTGGAAGTCTATTTCCTTTGCCAGATTGGAGAAATTCTCCTTTATTATTTGTTCAAATAAGTTTTCCACTGGTGGTTGTTCCTTTCCCCCTTCTGGTACTTCTATAATTCGGATGTTGGAGCATTTTAAGATGTCCTGGAGGTTCCTAAGTGTCTCCTCATTTTTTTGAATTCTTGTTTCTTCATATTTTCCTGTTTGGTCATTTTTTCCTTTCTTCTGGTTCAGTCCCTTGATTTAAGTCCCAGTTTCCTTTTCATCACTATTGGTTTCCTGTGCAATTCCCTTCATTTCAATTAGTTTAGCCTTCATATGTTCCTCTTAATTTGTGACTAAAATCAATCAGTTCTGTGAGCATCCTGATCACCAGTGTTTTGAACTGTGCATCTGAAAGTTTTGCTATTTCTTCATCACTTACAGTTATGGGCTCTGGGGCTTTGAGATCTTCTTGAGCCATTTTTGGTCTATTCGCGCCTGTTAAGTATGAGGAGCAGAGCCTTAGGTATTTACCAGGGCAGGGCACTAGGTTGTGACGCTGTATGTGGGGGCGAGGTCAGAGTGGGGAAATGGTACCCTCCTCTGCTGCCCCCCGCCCCCCTCCCCTGCCGCTGGGGCCTGCTCGCTCCTGTCTTACTGCCCACTCCCTTGCTGGTCTATCTGTGCATGAATGTGCGCCCACAGTCAACCCGATGCCCTGTGCCCTCACTGGGTTTCTGGTCGCTCACTGGGTCGCTCACTGGGTCAGCCCATTGCAACCCCATGCCTGGGATCTGCGTGCCTGAGTCCCTCTGACCGAGTTTTCCTGTGTAGCCCCACCTCGCCAGCTGCTGGCTTTGCCCCTCTTACTGGTCAGGCTGAAGAATTCGTTGTTATCAGACTTCCGAAAAGTCCAATTTTCTGTGTTCTGGCTGTGTTTTCTGTTGCTAATATTTTGTTGTCTCTAAACT